TGGTCCTAGCGACAAGCATCATGAAAATGGCCGGAAGCCGAAATAGGAATTTGTCTAACGGAAGGGTCATTTATCAAGATAAGTAGCCTCGACAAAATCAGGCTGGGTGCCACCGGAAGTGTGAACCAAAAGGCTCATCCGCCTGCAGACTGGAATATACAGAAATTGCAGGGCCCACACCCCCAAACCAGAACTTGCTTGTCCTTGTTTCCCTGTGACCCGTGGATGGTGCAAGCTCTTCTGAGTGACCCACTAGTCACTAGTCAGTTTAGAGCTCAGGCTTGTGGCATGAGTTCAGAATTTGGGGGAGGGGCGAGCATATATAAGGTTTGCACATGTGAGGACATAGTGCAAGCTGATTTAAGGGATGGGAACATCTCGTATATGATTTGCCAGGGATGGTTCTTTGTTAGCGCGGAAGGTCTTGTTGCAGGTGAGTCGTGGATGTAAGCAGTAGGAGGCCGGCAAAATCATCGGAAAGCCTGGCCTATAGATCCCTGTAGACCCCCTTAAAGGAACCCTTTAAGGGAACCCTTTAACTTTTTCACGTCGCTCCAGCCGCCAACCCACGACCCTACCGGCCTCGAGTCGATGGGCGGTCTTGGGACCCCAAAAAGTCTAGGAGGTTCAGACTCACCCTTAGTTGCAACAGCTTTAATTGCGGTTTCAGGGTCCCTGGCTTTAGTGGCTTCATGACATCACCTGCGAAGTAACCAGGAGTCCTCTTAGCCGAGTTTGGCGGGCTGGAGTGTAGATCGTGCAATTAGGTAAGGACCTTCGGCCCGAAGAGTAGGGCAACTTCAAGAGCGCTTGCACCATCTGCGGCCTACAAAATCCTAGACTTTTCAGAGGCCTCCAAGAGGCCTCAAAGACTTCTGCAGACTCGGTAGCCTTTGCGGCGAGGATCTGTGCATTAGCCCAGCGTAAGCTTAAAGGCAACAGTAGCATCATTGGCTCATGGGCAGCAACATCCCATCCACAGTTTCACTGCTCCTATTTTCGAGTGGTGCCCCAGAGAGAGTTTCGAATCTGTTCCCACTGTACCGATTCATCTACAAGCTACAGTTGCCGTGTGAAGCCGCAGCGGGTCGACAGCAGTTTTGCGATTGTGCTGAACGCTTACAAGAGAAGACATCTACGGCACAAACCCCTGGTTAAGCCACCCGAAGATCAGTAGCACAGCAGTTCGGCAAAGGCTGGACGAGATCCAGCACGATTGGACAAGACGTTGGACGCTAGCCAGGGCTTCCTGGAGCATTGGGCCTCGTCCATCCTATAAGTCTGGAGAAATGCGGGAAGCCCTGACATTGCTGGACAGCTCTGGAACCCAAGCATCCTCCCCTGCACAAGTTGGGCATGGCTTGCGATCCGGAGACTTACAGCATGGTATCGGCAGGAAAAAAGGTGGAAGGTCGCACCTCGAAGATGATCAATAACGCACAGCAGCGCTCGAACCTTACAATTATTGGGGTTCAGGGTTTAGGGGTTATTAATAATAATTCCTTCCTCCTTGGATCCTGCCACCTCGAAGACAGGAAGAGATGCTGTTTGCAGTTTGTGCCCTAGCTTGACTGCATCGCACAAGTGTAGCGAGTAGATCTTCGGCCCATGACATCCCAAGGGCTTGATGTGCATAAGAAAGTTCATAAACACTAAATTTTCCCTAGTACAGTAATTCCTAGACCACATACTCTATGGTGGTAAAGCTGTCAAAGCTTGTCAAGTTGTCGCACATTCTGCGGGCCGGTGTCCGCTGAAGCGGAGATGGAGAGAATGTATCCAGCACCGGCCTGCATAACTGTTTTGAAAGCCGCCATCGGAGCTATGTGGGCATGCCAGAGCTTCGAAACTGAGAAAGATGTTCTCCATGGTGCAGCAACTCTGCTTCGAGTTCCGGAGTTCCGGCTGCTCCCTTGCTGTCACAAAGCCTAGGAGCCTAGACTGCATGCCTGATTTCTGTAGGTCAATCACGACAGGCCAGTATTGTGAGTATTTGTGGCTCAGGCAATTCTGCAACCTGCCTTACAACAGTCATGGAGATGCCGAGTTACGAGCCTGGACAACATGTCTTTCGCTGCTGGCTCCTAGTATGGGATGCCAGCCTCCCCTAAGTCTTTCGTATAGGTGCCTTGTGCAGGGGCACAAACAAGTGGCATGCGCATTATCTGAATCGGATAAATGGCCCACGTTTGTTCTGTCTCTCTTTAGTCGTCGTCTGTGGAGCCTGTGATCTGTGGGTGAATGCCACAGCACCGCAATATGTAGATCCATGTCGCTATCAGGTCCTCGACCCCAGCACAGCATTGCCAATCGCGCAGACTGATCACGATACCATTATATACTGCACATATTCTTGTCCGTTATAAGAATCTTGTATTGTATACTGTCGTATGTTACGGTTTGACTCCTTGTGGTGCTACGACCTGGAGACTGCCCTTCCATAATTGTGGTATAGGATTTAGGATGTACGGTTTCGGCGTTTTTTTCGTCCACGTGCCTTCAACACCACGGTTTTTCCACCTGGGGTGCACAGGCTTTCGGATCCCTGATCGTAGAAGCGGGTTTAGGGTTTAGGGCTTCCAAACACAGTCCAGTTTGCCCTCTGCTGATCGGCTGCAGCTTCTGTAGAGACGCCCGGGCCTTGCAGCCCTGGGCGAGAGCCGCGAGACATGGGCCGCTTGTTTGGGGTTTATTGTGGGATTTTAGGTATTTTCGGTCTAGGTTTGGGGCCAAGTTTAGGGTTTGTGCAGGAAGAAGCGTTTAGGGTGGGCAGGGCTCGTGATGGGGGTCCGAATAATTAGCAATCGTACTAGTACTAGCTATGGTGTACATAGTCGGTTTAGCTCTTCAGGGAGGCTGGACATGCTGGACATTCTTGATGTGGTGTGCTCATATACTGCCGCGTGTTGATCTCGCTAAATTTGGGGTGTGCTGTGTGGAGGTATATAATGACTTTTGGCAGCCATGCTAAGGCTATGTGACATGTTCTGGAACGGAAATGTTGCTGTTGGCATATGTTCGTAGTTGTAACTCTATAGGTACCGAAAGCCAGCACTTCGTCCCGACTTAAACTGATGCACTCAGGCAGGCACGATTGTGACGATGGTTGTAGTCGCGATGATGGTAACGGTTGCGATAAGGATCGGAACCCGTCATTATGATGGCGATATTGATGGTGCCATTGCTGCTGGAGCCGATTCTGCCGACCGTTTTGAAGGTGTTATTGAAACAGTGGGTGCATGTGCGCTGATGCAGTTTAGACAGTTCTTGGCCAGTGGTTCCTGGTCAGCACACTGCAACCGGAAAGCCGGAACTTCGGAACGAACCTGTCAAATATGATTCAACGGCACGAGCCATGTGACCACAAGGGCCCAAGCCTCCAAGCCTCCAGCACTGCAAACTCCCAAACCTGGCATCAACATCCCAACAAAGTTGAAAGTGCAGATACCCTGACGCCTGGACCCCAAGATCCTCAGAAACGGCGGCAGAGAAGACCCTAGATGAAGTCTGCCAAGGCGCATGTGGCGGGAAAAACCCAGCGGCGCGAAGCCACAGCCATTCGGTAAGTGGAGTATTTCAGGGTTTAGGACCGGAATAGGGTTGAAAGTCTACGTGTTCGGATTTGGAGCTGAACGAGCTCTGGGCTTGTAGCTCTTAGAACGGAGTTTTACAGTTTTACGATTTAGTTCATCCATCGGCCTCCCAGGACAGGAGATTCTCAGTTTCCCTTCAGCGTTTCTTTGACGGTCCCTGCTTAGGCTTGGTTCCCCCAGACGACAAAGCCCAGGCACGTGCCCGACCGCGGGTGGTTGCAGTTTCGGGGTATGCGGTGCGTGGGCAAACATCTTAGCACTCGATACTCGACATGTGCATGACAAGGAGCTTCCCTTCCGAATGGCGTGCATCGTGATACTATGCACTGTAGCCAGGTGTTTTTGCTGACACAGCCCGTGCGCACATCGTCGGATAAAGACGCCTCATATCTTCCTGACATGTGTCAGTACCTACGGTTGACGTATTGTTTGCAGCAGAAGGGAGAGCGTACTCCGACGCAGTTGCATTGTCGGCACGTGGCAGGCCAATGGCGGCTACCCTGGCGATCCTTGGCAAAATTGGTTTTCCAGATGCCAGATGAGCTTCGTTGGCACTGCTTTTGAAGCAGTCTGCTTGTGGGCTCATACCACCTTGTCCTTGTCAACGGCATCTCTTGATCGATGTCATGGTCGAACGATAAGCTGGCATGGAAACGGCAGGCAGCAGAATTAAGGGCTCAGAGGTGTCCCTGGTTCTACCCTGATCAATCCTAGCTCCCAGGACACGCTGCTAACCTTCAACCGGTAACTCTCTAATCTTGCATGCACAGTTGCTTATCATGACTTTGATGTTCAACAATGCAGACAAATTACTAAGGGCAACGGCACCGCTTCCACCAACTCGAGAATGAAGGACTGCAGACCTACATGTAGCTGCGCCCTTCCAGTTTTGAAATATTAAGGTGATCAGCGGTCCGAAAGTGTGTGGTCATAGCAGTTAGGAGACTCTTCTGCCACACTTGCTGGTGCATGATACATGAACCCCACCTACCTGGTGGCTGGTACGAGCTCTTCTAGCTGTTGCTCGCTTTGTCGCACCCCCAGCTGTTGCTGCCCCCTTGCCTTAGACATCTTCATTGTCGTAGATCTGGCTTAGCTAAGTTGCAGCCGTAGCCGCACTAGTGGTAGAAGCCGTTGTTGTCGACGTCGCCGCAGTCGCGGTGATAGTCGTCATAGACGACTACTTGGCAGCAGCAGCAGCAGCAGCAGCAGCAGCAGCAGGTGAAGGAGGAGGAGTAGTAGTAGTAGTAGCAGCAGCAGCAGCAGTAGTAGCAGCAGTATTACCAGTAGCTGTAGCAGCAGTGGTGGATGGTGGTGGAGGTGTTAGAATGTGCTAACTATGGTGGTTACAAGGTCGACAAGATGACCAGCGAGTTAGGTATCGCCACACATCAACCTCAAGCGCAGGCAGACGGCATCAACCGCCGGCAGTTCATTCTCAGCAATCCTGGCCAGATCAAAGAGTTCTACAAGTATCTAGACTGCATTTAGTCTTAGAGATCTCCGTTCTTGAGGATCGGGTCCTGCCAGATTAAGTGTCTCGCGCTACTGGGGATGGCATACCTTGCTGGCACCAACGGCTTGGAGTTAACATAAAGCTGTAGCACAGGCTGGTGCATCATCAGATCAAACCAAACGAAAATAAGGTTTTCCAATGATTGAAAGGTGATGCAGTATAGTGTTTCAGTGAATGACAGAGTGCCGCACATCCCCGTCGTTCCATGGTGCCAGCCTATAGTATTTTAAATATTTTATATGGCTTATCACGGTAGTCTCCCCCAGGCTGGACTCGAAGAAGATCGGCGAGGGCACTTATGGCTCCGTTGCCATCGGCGTGCATCAGCAGACCAATGTGGAGCGTGCAGTCAAGACCATGTCAAAGGGCTCCTTGGCTACGGATGGGTTTAGCGGGTTTAGCGTTCAGGACTCCTCTGGATCCATAACAAGTGCAATTACCCAAGATGCCATGTGCAATCGCACACATCATGCGTGTAGTTGCTGCTGCTGCTGCTGCCGCTGCTCCCACCACCGCCACCGCCACCACCACCACCACCACCACCACCACCACCACCACGACCACGACCACGACGAACTACTACTGCCACTTCCACGGCCACGACCACCACCACTACAGTATTGCGTCTGCTTGTGCTTTTCTTCCACACCTTGTCCGACTGCCGCGACTGCTAGCGCTGGTCGTAGTAAGCAGTCGTGCCAGCACCAGTGGCTTGGGTTCAGGATTTTGTGTGTCAAAAGCCGGACTATTTTGACCTGGACTTTGGACGTCTCCTTCCAGCTCCATTCCTCAGCAGTGATAATGATCCAGTAAAGTAGTACTACAAACTGCTGTAGTCGCAGAGGTGCGGATCGATGGTTTGTTTTCCAACCTGTGGCCCCAGGTAACATCAAACATGTGGAGCGCTTCATGCAGGTGCCGGTCGATGTTTGGTGTCGGGTCTAGATTCGAGACGAGATGTTCGGGTCCGGTTTTGGCCTAAGCGTTCATACAGAGTGAAGCGTTCAGAGTGCCCAGTGGAGTTCTAGAAAGACAGCGTGGCTGCCGGGCAGCCTGCAGATTATGCAGACAAAGAAATATCACGGTGCTGCCAGCGGGGCCTATACTTCAAACTACAAGCAAAATGGCATCACGAAAGGCATAAAGCACTACCAGAGCACATCACAAAGGCATCGACTGACAGCGAGGAGTGGAAGAAGGGCTGCTGTGGTCGCGATTTGCAGTTACTTTCAACACGCCAGTCCGTGATGAGCTCCCAGAATGCTCTCATAGGCTTCACGGTTGAGGGACGCTGAGGGTTAGATGCATTTATTTATTTATGCACATACTACCCAGGCAGACACAGAGAGTGAGAGAGAGAGAGAGAGAGAGAAAGAGAGAATGTTCCTGATTCTGCTGCCCATGTCAACTGAGACAGAGCGCCTCGGGCAAGCACCGGGTTGAACGAAGAGCACACAGGAGATTAACATCATGAAGTCCATGGACCACCCCAACATCATCAAGCTCTTCGAGACCTTCGAGGTGCCCTTTGCTCCGGATGGTAGCCAGCTGTAGTCCAGACTCTGACCTTTGCGGCTTTCAGGTTTAGGGTTCTTTGCGGGTTTCAGACCTTGTCTTGTGGTGTTGGCTTGGCTTTGCGGCTCAAAGCCAGGACCGGAAGCAGATCTTCTTGGTCATGGAGCTTTGTCAGGGAGGCGCGTGTGTGCAATGGTTTGGGCACGGCCGTACTCCTGTTGCAATACTTGTTCCGTCACTGTCCCAAAACGGGAAAAAGGGGGAACCTAAGAGTCAGTATGCCATTCGCTCCCGGACCTGTGTTAAATGCGTGTGATGCCAGGGGAGCTTTTCGACCGCATCATTGAAGCAGGGCACTTCACGGAGAAGGCGCACCCGTAAGTCTTAAGCTACCATCAGGATGCGACTGAAGAGGTCTCATGAATAAATCAATAAATGTTCAGACAGTAACAGTAGCAGTAGTAGTAGCAGTCGCAGCAGCAGTAGTAGTAGTAGTAGTAGTGGTGGTAGTGGTAGTAGTGATAGTAGTGGTAGTAGTGGTAGTAGTGTTAGTAGGAGTAGAAGTAGAAGTAGAAGTAGAAGTAGAAGTAGAAGTAGAAGTAGAAGTAGTAGAAGTAAC